CGGGAGCCGGGGACGCGGCGCGGCGGGGCAGGAGCAGCGAGGCGGCAGCGGGAAGGAAACCCGGCAGCGCACGCGCTCGCGAAGCCCCGGCAAGAGGCAAGGGGGGATTCCCGTGGGACGGAGGCCGGGGACCTGGCCGAGCAGAAACGCAGAGCTTCCTGCTGCAGCACGGAGCCGGCGGCCAGGGCAGACACCCAAACGCTACCGAAACGAGCATCGGGCGCCTCGAACCCCTTGGAAAGTTGCAGCCGAAGAGCTGAGCCGCTCGCGGGGAAACAGCCCGAAGCAGGAGATGCTCCGAGAGAGGCATTCGGCCAGGAGGGCCGGCGCCGCCGGGCCCTGGCGCTCAGAGCCCTCAGCTGCCTCCGGGGCTTCGGCCCCTGCAACAAAATCCCTCCCGCGCAGGGCTCTGCAAAGCAGGTCCACATCCCTGGGGCTGAACCAGCAGCACCAGTGGCGAGGATTTCATCAATTTTGAAAGCCAGGAGAAAACATTACGATCATCGCTTCCGATTCCCTGCATAATACAGAGCAAAGAAGTTCACCCAGGAATCTCGGCGTGAAACTACAACTCCTGCCCGAGCTACAGCATCGCACTCAAAACGCTTCCCACCTAGATGTAAGCAACGGAGCATCCTCTCCCTTCACATCCCAGCCCAGCGCTGGGCAGTACCAGAGGCAATAACTCCGCGTATTTCCAATACCTTATTTCTGATGTGAATTCGCTTAGCTGCAGCTTCCGCTCTTGCATTCTGTCGTCCATCCAAGACCAACCCCCCCACGTGCCGTTAACGCAGGACACGGCAAACAGAGGGGCAAACCAGCAGCATCCCTAAAACAAAGCAGAACGCTAATATTTTTTCAGCCTCTCCTGTTTTGGAAAGCGAACCCCCACGCGCGCAGGGAGACAGACGGGCTGGGACGTTGCACGCCAGCAGCCCATGGCTGATGGGACCCGGCAAGCGAACGTCTCCATCCCGCAGCAAGCCCTGTTTCTGCAAAATCTCTCCCCCCACACTCCCAGAAACCAGTCCAGTCCCAACAGGGGTGTGCAAACACAGCAGCCGGAAAGCGTATTACTGATCCCTGGGGTGCATCTCCCTCTACAAGCCACTGAGCTCTTACTACACAATAAAACATTGTGATTAGATCTACAAACCAAGCCCTGGAAGGCTAAGAGGTTTTATCAAAGCCAGCAGAACCCCAGGGAGGAGACGGAGAGATAAGGGGAGCTGCC